CTAGATAAGACCTGGGGCTGTTCGCTGCGAAGCACTCTCGTGCATTCTCGATGTCTGTTGTTGATGAATGGTATCATTCCAGAGAGTTCGTTGCCTATCGAGCCCCGTTATCTAATTGGCTCTGGAACATTCCCTCGTACTGGCTCACTGTGTTTTTTTGCTTACTGGTCACTTTTATATTGGCATTCGGACCCCTCTGATCGTCTTCTGCTTACGCAAAGTTTACGCAAAGGCCAAGGAACATTCGCTGCCACACGCTTCGTTCTTCTCTTCCACTTGAGTCGTATGCTGCCTGCGATTGGGATGAGTCACCCGAACTACTATTCTGAATTGATAGGTTCTGTTTTCACGCATCGAGGATGGGTATGAATCATGGTGATACTTAACCACCCCACAGATGACGAAATAAACACGTACCGTATCCTGAAGTTCCTGTTCAGAGGTGTTCCATTTTATTGCCGGAGATCACATCAGCAAAACCCAAATGGGGTATGTGGCACTGCATATTGCCGTACAGTGACTCAGGGTTCGCAGGAAGGTCCCCCCATGTGCAGCCGAGCCGTAGTGTGTGCTTCGGATGTGTCATGCTGTGCAGTCGGGTACAGCTGGCACAGCGCTGCACAATCCTGCACAACACTGTAGCGCTGTATGACGCTGTATAGCACAAACCTGCTATGCAGTGTCATACAGTGGTGTATGGTGTTCCATAGCACTCTTATTACACTACCAGTACTGCTAGTATAGTTTTTGTTCTTGCATGCTAGCAGCGCATTAATACGAAGCCAATGATAATTCAATTCAAAATAAAATGATAGGACTAGTAAGTAGTAGTATGTAAAACTACGCGAGATCAACATCCCACTCTGAGCTGTCGTCACCTTCGTGATCACCAAGGCCGGCGCCATGTACATTCCTAACTCGATGGTCAATATACTGCTACTGCCATGAAAAATCATGCCGAAACTTACATGCCTTCCAATGCCCAAGCTTTGAGCATTTGACGAAGTTTCGGCCCGTGATACGCGTCTTTGTTCGTGCGGTTGAACAGCGTAGAAATGCGATCGTATGCATTCTCCGAATCCTCGATAGGCGTCTGCTTGGTGCGATTCACCTGGCCATATTTACTGTAGATGCAGATGACATTGCGAATCTAGGATAAACTCAGAATCAGTGAATGCACTTCAAGTTTAAGCATACTACAGGCGCACTCACAATAGTCCCAACGAGGAAGAGCGCTGCGGGCGGGATGGTCTTCTGAAACTCGGCGAAATGCTTTAGCGATTTGGATCCATTGTCATAAAATGACTTATGGCAAACGATGCGAACTGCGTCGTTTGCAAAGTTAGATGCACGACCCTACTAGATGTTTAGAATCGAATATCAAGGACGACGAACAACGTACCTCAGAATCAGGCTCGCCACGCAAATATATTGCTTTCTTCAGCAAAGCGGTTGCCTTGAGTTTGACGCTATCAGTTGTATTCCCGTTGATGCCGAGGGCGAGTTCATATACCATCGGAACGACAGTAAGTACAATCTGTTTGATCTTGCTGCGGAATGTCGCGGCATCGTTAAAGACCTAGATCCGTGTGACTTAGTTAATGGAAATATATCTTGGTAAAAATCGGAGCACTCACCACGGTAGCCATCCCCGTTTTGAACTCAGGGTAGTAGCCTTTGTATGTGTGTCAGTGGGCGGTAACACTGTAATTAGAGAAAAGAAAATACCTTTCTCGAGTTTGCGTTTCTGTTCTTGCCACTGTACGATCGCTTCCGCGATCACTTCACCACAGACTCCGGTACCACCGATGGATTCCTCTTTGTCGGGGAATGGGACTGAAGTAGCAATATAGAGCCTGAAATTAGCCTTCGCGCGGTCAAGGAGTTTTTGCCAGAGTGATGGGTAGAACCCAACATTAGTTGCATCACGATTGGTAGCAGCACCCTTCGCGTTCTTGGTGCGGTGGCGCCTCCCACTATCGATATCGACCTCATTGAGATCCTCCAAGTTGTCCTGCTGGTCAGAGTCACGGTCATCGCTTGACTGGGAGTTTCTTGTGCGAGCACGCTTGGTCTTCGGGTGGTGGTTCCGTGCACTGCTCAAATACGTAGGGGACGGAGAACGTGGTCGACGATTTTTCGTGTGGTGAGCCTGGAGGATATCATAATCGATATTTGGCTGAAAAACAGTGTCAATACATGGCGATAGTATGGGTGAGTACTTACGACTACGGGAGCGTTCAAAAGACTCGGAACTTGTTTGTTAGTACTCTGTAGACCGGATCGCTTTGGCGCCGTCCTGCTAGTGGTGTGGTTATTCCGATCATGACGGTCCATGCCAGCCACTCCCGCGCCATCCTCATCCTCATCCTGTGAACACACGCTATGATCAGGTGCTTGCGTAGGGTGTCTTGCTTGCGTGCTGCCACGATAGGTTTGATCACCGTGATGTGGGGGGTGCATGACGGTGTCACTCCCGTAAAAATCCTCCTCGTGCTCCATAATCTCATCCAAATCATCGTCTTGCGCAAAATCTCCACCCTCAAGCTCGTTATCAACGCCATCATCTTCTGCAAAATCTCTGCCCTCCTCAATGTCATCTTCATTCTCTTCAACGTCATCTTCATCCTCTTCAATGTCCGCCTCTTCATGACCTTCTTCAGTTTCAACGATGGACATATTTTGACTGACGAAGGAACCGAAAGCAGGAGGAGTGCGAGCAACGGTATGGTGGGGTGTCATGGTCGCTGATGGCTCCCGCTGAACAGCAGTGTTGAGAATAGGAATAGATGCCCGAGCGTTGGTTGACGACAGAATGAGAACACTACGAGAAACAATACGAGCACCAGCAGGATGCTGGACAGCTGGAATTCTACTTTCATCAGCCTGATGGTCATGAGGAGCGCCATAAGAGGCGCCGTGAGAGACACTTCGAGAAGCACCGTGAGAAGCACCACGCCGAGAAGCACCACGACGAGAAGCACCACGAGAAATACCACGAGAGACGCTGCGAGAAGCACCTTGAGAGGTACCATGATCATGGACATAGGGCCGGGCAGGAGATATCGTTAAATCAGGCTGAGGATCCGTTTGGTGGGACTGGAGTGGTTTGGAACCAACATATGTTGAGGGAACTGGATGACCCTGCAAACCAAACCTTCCCGTATCCGCGACGTGTAGAGCAGGTGTGGGACCTGCAGCACTAGGGTTTGACTCGGATGCCTCCTGCTAAATACCAAACATTAGTACCGCCGTGATGATGCAGTTTCAGGAATGAACATCAACCAAGCAGGTACTTACTATTGCACTTAAGTTTCTCCGAGTCTCAAGCTGCCGAGGAGCTTTTCCTCCCCTCTTCTTCTTTGCCACCGGAGCCATCGCATTTTCAGGTTCATCAAACGGGACAACGACGTTCTGAACCTTTGATTTTCCAGGTGCTCTGGCCGGAGTCTGAAGAGCATTTCCTATCTTCTCTAGCTGAGAATTCCTTCCTCCAGCACCAGCACCAGGTCGGTTGGAACGACGACGGGGAGGTTGGACCGACGTCACTGGTTCATTGTCGATGTCTGATTCAACGACTTGAAGCGACGGGACTCCGACTTGTTGCCCCCTCTGTCGGCCCATGGTAAGCACACAACTAGTAGGCGAGTGATGGAGAAGATGAACCTTCAAAATCAGGTTAAATAATAGTTACAGCATCCATGGGTAGGTACCAGCATGGTGCTTAATTACTAAGTGGTAGTACTACCGAATCCGAATCGTACCGGCACGTTCACGAGTTACGTACTAGTACTACAGTAGCAAAGTCCATCACTAGTACCTCCGTCCCGACTCCCTGCTCAATCTCAATGACAACTAATTGCCCTAACTGTTTGAAAGAGTTTCAGAGCGCTTGGGCTGTTTCACGACACCTGAGCCAGCCCCTTACATCCTGTCTATGATGGGTTGATCAGCTTGAGGATGCAGCGCAAATCTTGCAAGACTCACAGTTCGCGGACCAGCACGCAACTCTCGGCCCATCTGAGTCGTCATCCAACCCTCGTCATTCCAGAACACCAAGCCCTTTTCAAGTTCAAGTTGATAGTGAGGAAATGGTGCATGTTCAGGATTTGAATGACTCGGGCTATTTCTACGGTGACGAGGGAGGCGTGGTGGGCTTGGAGAGTGACCTGCCAGGGTCGGTTGAAGAGCCTTTGGGCAGCCAAGCTTCGGAGAAGCCTTACGTCGAGCGCTTCAGGAACGCTGCGAAAGTGTATCGGCGCGGCCAGACCTTTTGGGACAGGTTTAATATGGATCCCTATTCAGCATATCGCAAGGACAACCTTTACTATCCATTCGCGTCCCGTCAGGACTGGGAGCTCGGCAGCTTTCTCCTGTGCTCGTCATTAAGTATGGCCGCCATAGATGAGTTCCTGGAGCTCGAATTAGTACGGCTTGAGTCAGCTGGCATGTTACCGTCACAAGTGCTGATTTCTTCGCAGATTAAAGCATTGTCTCTCTCCTTTTGTACAGCCAAGGAGTTGCGTGGTCGTGCTGAGCTGCTACCTCCTGTTCCGAAGTGGCAGTACCGCATAGTCTCAACCACTCACCCAACAAAACAGCCGCTATATTTGTACTGGCGCGATCCATTGGATTGTATCGAATCGCTTTTTAGCCACCCGTTGTTTGCTAAAGAAATAGATGTCACGCCGCAACGTGTATATCACACAGTGGAATGCACATCACGAATTTACAATGAATGGCTGACAGGTGACGCAGCATGGTCGATGCAGGTAATACATACCTGACTATCAATGGTCTCCAACTTGCTAACTCTCACATCTCATCGTAGTCACAACTTCCAGATGGTGCGACATTGTTAGGCATCATACTGTCCTCTGATAAGACCAACATCACCAACATGACTGGTGGACGTGTCGCTCACCCGCTCCTGATCAGCCTTGCCAATATCAAGATGGCAACTCGAAACAAGGCATCCTCACATGCTTTCCTCCTAACAGCGCTGCTTCCAATTGCTGAATTTCTGCATCCAGTGAAACGGATGCAGAGTGTTCTTGAAGCCCGCTTAGTCCACCAGTGTCTAGATATCGTGCTAGAGCCGCTCAAGCAAGCTGCACGCATCGGCCGGATGATGTCGGACCCACTTGGGAACCTCAGATACTGTTTCACTCCCTTAGCTTCATACATTGTCGATACACCCGAGGCATGCATGCTCGCATGTGTCCGAGGAAAGACCTCACCGATCACTATGGCTATGTATGAAAACTTCGGAGACGCCTTCCAGCACTCCCCTCGAACAGCTAAAATGACTCTCGACCAGCTTTCGAGCATTAGTTGTGACCCCCCTCAACGTCGAAGGTTACTTTAATGCATGCGCTCCATTCCGCCTGAGTGGCGTAGCCCAGCCATTCTGGCGTGATTGGTCACTTGCGGATCCGCATGTATTTTTCACTCCCGAACCCCTGCATCACTGGCACCGTGAGTTCTATGATCACGATGTTAAATGGTGTCTTGCAGCTGTTGGCGAACAGGAACTAGACTTTCGCTTCTCCGTTTCGCAACCACTCACGACGTTCCGACACTTCAAGGATGGCATTTCCAAGCTTAAACAAGTCACTGGAAGAGCCCAACGTGATATGCAACGCTATATTGTTGCTCTCATTGCCGACGCAGCCCCCCGTAGTGTTGTGATAGCTGTTCGCACGCTGATGGACTTTCGCTACATATCGCAAGCGACAACGATCGACGAAGCGCCATTGTCAAAAGATTCTCGGTGCCCTCGAGGAATTTCACGAACACAAGCAAGAAATCATTGCTTGCGGTGCACGTCGAGGTGCAAAGAGCAAACAGGTCCTCGACAACTGGCATATACCCAAATTGGAGTTGATGCAGAGTGTCGAGCCCAGCATACGTCAAGTCGGCTCTCTCTTGCAGTGGTCTGCTGACACCACAGAGCACGCTCACATCACCCTAATCAAGGATCCCGCAGATTCCTCCAACAACATCAACTATGATGCTCAAATATGCCGGTTTCTTGATCGCCGAGAGAAATGTCGAAACTTCCAGATTGCAACATCAATAATCGCTCGTTCACAATCACAGTCACAAGCTTCTACTTCTCGAATGACGGACACCAGTTCGGAACATCATGACGAGTCGCACGACGAAGATCCACACGCCGACAAATCAAACTTGCAGACAGGTTTGGATGATCTCTGGGGGCCGAAGCGTGTAGTGACCGATTTCTTCAAGAAGGCAGAGCAACTCTCTTCAGATTATTGAAGTAGCCAGACCTCATCCGCACATTCGTGGTCGGTGCAGCAGGCAATCCACCTGAATTTCGATCCTTCGATACGACAGCATACCAGTCGAATGTCGTCGCTGACAAATTCTCTCTACCTGACTTGCGGGGAGCACTCGCTGACTATATTCAACGAGAGGGCTATGGCTCAGAACGTCCACTCGCTGAGGGGACAACGCCGAGCATTGCCTGATGCACCTCTTCCTTTTAATGACCTTATGGTCTGGTTTAAAGTACGCGTGCAGCAGGCATCGTACCACAGCCCATCAATCACTCCTCCTGCTCTCACAGTCAACGCGCATCCTCCGAGCGCAACTTGGAAGTATGGGCGTTATGACGCTGCTATTTTCACTGTTGATGACACCGGACGTGAACAATGGCCTACTAGTGGGCTTAAAGGTATGTTTCTCAGATGTCCATTTGTATACTTGTGTCCGAGTTTGACATCCGAGCAACTTGCAGGCCATGATGTTGTTGAGGTGCACCTTATCATGCAACCGCTTCCTCCACGAGGAAAACCTGGTAGTGCCCCTTGGGCCACGCGTTTTCTTACTTATGTTCAGCGCCTAGATGTTATGCCTCAGCGTCATGGAAGCTTGCTGGAATGCACAACACAGATGCATGTTTTAAAACGTGCAATGCGATCAGCAGGGACTCCCTTCGGTGATATCCTCCCACTAGATCAACTTCGTTCTTTTGCTCAAATTATCCCCCGCTTTGGTCGTGTTGCTGATTCTCGTTTAACAGCACAAAATAGTGCTCACTTTGCTCAGACATTCTTCCTAAATAAGTACATCAACAAAGACTTCTACTATGCTATCTCAAACTAGTGTAGTCTTTTGCATTATGATTCAATGGTATGAAGATGATAGTTGATATTAATTATTGAAGCACTCTGCGCTCGATGTATGATACTATGCGTCACTGTAAGACACTGCACAATCCTAGACTGTACGAGGACCTGCTGTGTAGCGCTGTATAGCGCTACCTTACGACACGTGGCTCTCAGCTGACTAATAAACTCCAGTCATCAATGGAGATGATTGACAGGCCAACCCCCACTGGTTGTCAGCATCATACTACCTCTCTCAATGCCTGTCACCAGCAATCTCACTGGCATGGCTCTTCCAGCTCTTTATTCTAAGCTCTCACAGAGTTCAAAATCTTGGCTCTCAAGATCACCCTCAATGAATTTGATCCTCCCTCCTCAATGTGTACAACTCGAGAAAATCTCCTGTTCCTTGTATAATCATGTTCCAACGGAAACAGAACTTCAAGACAAGCAAATCCTTGAAGACCTCAAGACAGCAATAAAGACAACACTCGGGGTTCAATTTACAGACTTGGATAATCCCGATTCTTTAAGCTTAGGTTAGTATTTCTCAGATCGCTTACTACACATTCAAATCTTCTTCCTGACCATTCATCAACACAAACTTGAAGACCATTGCGCCATTGTCCTTGAAGCACTCCAACATCCTCAACCTCATACAATTGTAGGCCGATCTACACGTTAAGTATCGTAGATTCATATTTACCGTTATCTGAGGTCATCGCCGATATCACGCCTGCAGAGTACGCGGTGGTGGTAGCATTTACGTCGGAAGAGCGAGATTTTGAAGTCAGAGCAAAGTAAACACTAGAGTAGTAGCTGAGTCGTACGCGTACACTGACCACGTCTTATTTCTTACTACAGATTCGTCTACTTCGCGGATACTCAAGATATATACATCATGCCCCCCCTTCCCGTCCATGAACAACCAGCTGCGCACCTTGCGAAGGCCGTGAACAAGTTCACGGAAGCCATCCCTTACGACAAGCTCCTGATCGACACCACTGTACACCTCAATCACCGCATCCAAAACAAGGATTCGACGAATATACCAGATCTACACCTTACCGTCACAGCACAACCCCCGGAGGATATAGAGTCAGATGAGATGGTGGTAGCGAAGCCGGTGTCCAAATGGGTTGGAGAATGCGGGCTTTCCTCAGATACCAACTGCATGGTGCGGAAGCTAAGCAACACATGCGACGGCCATCAAGACATTGATTACGCTTTCATCATATCCTTCAAAGAGCGAATTAAATGGCAACAACCGAACGAAGGGGATACCACTATTCAACAACTTCGCTCAGCTCCCGCGTTAGATTACGAAGACTTCATCCCATCCCGCATCAAGAAGAGCTTGAGGTTTGGACCGGTGGAGATCAAGTCTCACACCTGGATTGATATCAGCGAGGTCCGCTATAGCATATACAAACGTGGCACGGACGGTCACTTTGATTTCAACAACAAGGATGCTTCTACCTTCGCAGAGGGGGTACGTACTATGTGTTCACCTTATTAGTATCTACTAATTTTTGGCCTCAACTCGCCCCCCACAGACCCTTTACCCCGTGTTGCAGATGGGTGATGTTGAACGCATGTTGGATAACGCCGCAGATAGCTTGAAGGATTACATTGTATCGTTGATGGAGGGTATGGGTCTTGAGGAGAGTGCAGTTCAGAGTGCGCGTGATTCCCATCCCGTATTCGAGCCCGTTTGGGGGGCAGCCCTCAACTCTATCTCCTCCGCGATCTACCTTACAGCATATTGCCGCTACTTGGACTGGCGCCACCACAAATACGACAAACGCAAGACAATGCACGTTGTCGTTCAACAACCCACAAGCTCCGAGTCTACCAGTACCGGACCAACCGATCCTTCGACCATTACGACAACTTCTTCCTCATCTGATCCCACAACTCGCCCCTCGTCCGCCACGACGCCGGCCTCTTCATCTACTGGGTTATTGCTCGACGTGCAGCCTGAGCGCTCAGCAAAGAAGTTGAAGGTTCAGCCGGAAGGTGAAGGGTCTACTAGGGGGAAACAGCAGAAGGAGGCAAAGGCGCAGGTGAATGGGAGTGGGAGTGGCAAGGGGAAGGGGAAGGGGAAGGGTCGTCAGTAGTGGGCTCTTGCCGTGCTGATCGTCAATGGTAAGTGTCCGTTGTTCGACTCAACTTCCTCTTAACACTGACGATTTACAATCGGTAGTACTTCAAATCTTCGCTTGTTCCGAGTCTATCGCACCAGCACTCCGAGTCTTTGAATTTGCTGGTCTACTACTACTAGTTTGTTGCATTTCTTTTGTACTTTCAGAGCCTACTACTACTATGGATGTTTCTCACTGTACTGTGCGCTAGTTAGCCTATGTAGGTACTATGAGATTCGCGTACAATTTGTCACATCACGTTTAACTACTCACTCTCGGCGTGACCCGGGAAAATTGAACTACTAACAGCATAACTTCAATGGCCTCCGGTGCCCAACCTGCAACAGACACGTCTCTTACAGGGATTTCACCTGATCAAAAACGCTCGCATGAGCCCCAGACCCATCTAATAACACAAGCAATTCACGCCGGAACACGTGCGCCAGTACCACCAAAACCAATAGGACCTTTTTCTGCAGTCTCCAGCTCAAGCACAGAAGGACCAGTCGTAAACAACACATCATCCATTCATCGCACTCCATCCAAGTCGTCCATCTCTGAGGCCCAACATATGTCTACTGTACTAGTACCTACTGCTATGCAAGGTGTTTTGCATTCTAACTTGAAGCACATTGGAACGCCTAGGGCCATTGGCGCTCTATGAAACCGATCCCCTGCATTATTGCGCCACTTGACCACGCCGAATGTTGCGCGTTCTACTCTCGGGTTGAACGCGAACAAAGTTCCATCACCTGTATTCTCGGTAAAAACAGAGTCAGACTCAAACTGCGAAGACAGCGACAATGTAAGTTCAACAGCATCCATACACGCTATCTAGTACTAAATGTCAATATTGCCCAGGAATCTACTCACACCATCGACACCCAGGCCCGGTCTAGCGAGGAACACAAGGCCCAGCTCGTTTTGAACGCGACCCGTGCACAGCGAGATGTTTGCTTTGCGGAGAAGACACTCGCAGATTGCGTTGTCCAGCAGAATAGAGCACTTGGGCTCCTCTACCAGTTCGAGGCTACAGAAGCTGGGAGGAAGTTGGAGGACGCTCATATCGACATCAGTTATGTACGTCATTCGGTCCGCAAAATCGGCATCACATTGCTCGAAGACTCTACTAGTAGTAAGCCTAGAAAATGTCGTCGCAAATCTACTAGTCAGGTTGATGGTGATACGCTCAGCCCGGAAGTAGACTTGGCTCTGCCACTGCCCGGGCCACTGGCAGGTAATTGTATTCTGTTAAATTTGTTCGACCGCTCCTATTGACGTATTTTCTATGAAATAGATACAGGATCTGCGAGCGCGACCCAGAGCTGAGTCAAACACTCGAGATTCTTCTGAGGTAGCGCCCGATTCCTTGACCTGTTATTCAAACTATAGATACTCTTCTGGCACGACATATAGTATACTGGCAGTACTACTAGTAGTACTATACTGTTTGACTTGATATCCCGGATCTACTGTATTAGCAGTCGCAGTACATTCTTTCAATGAATCAATGTTTGTTTCAAGTCGTTCTTTTAAGTCGTTCAAACTCAAGTCAACTCGAAGAGCTGGTAATACTAGTACTACTCGGGTCGTTCGCTGTAGCGCGCTATGTGGTGCTATGTCGCGCTGCAGAAGTCTACTTTATGTACAGTTATGTCATTGTGCACTGCACGTGGTCGCTACACATCACTACAGGTGCCTGCAACTGCTGTAAGGTGCTGTAAGATGCTGTAAGCTGCCACGGTAGCTGTGCTAAATTTAGTGTTTTGCTGATGTAGAACTTGCGGAAAACATCATAAGTCTGATGGTGCTGATGTTGCGGAGGAATAAATTGAGTACCGTATATAGGAATAAGGTGTGCGGCGCGGTAGATTGAGTCAATATGAATGATGGAAATATGGGGAGAGTTGTTCGCGTGATGAGCAGGCTGTACCATCCACATTCCGTTGTCTTCGTTGGGTGAATCTCCAATTGTATCGAACCACCGCACAACTGCGCATGGGTATAATTCAGCCTTGTATGTGAAAGAGAAAAAACTCAACACTCGCGCAACGTCCATACCCCTCATCCCGTCGAGATCCGGATTCGTGTTGACGAAGACACAATCATAACGAGGGTACTCATTTCTCCATATTGGACATGCGCGAACATACTCGCGACGCATGCCCCCGATACCACTTGGATCGCTCGGGGCAA